AAGTTGGGTCTGGTAGCAAGAAGCGCTTGATGTGCGGCCTGTGGTTGGGGATTTGTTCTCGTGAGTTCTAAGACTTCTGGGACAGCGCTGTTCCCTGGCATCCATTCACTTCCGTGTTCTGCCACTGTTCGGTCCATAAGCAGGCAGCACGCGACAAAACCTCTAGCAATTAACATTGATCCTTCACTGATCTGCACTCGGCATGCAATAGGAGGTTCAACATGAAAGCATCATTATCACCTGGAAAGACTTCTCCAAGTTCCCAGGCAGTCCTTCTTTCGCTCTGCCAGCAAAGATGCAGATACCTTTCACATCCGGTGAAAGCGTGAAAGACTGGAGCAGTGAGACAGCTGTGTTGGAATTCATTGTGGCAAGCATTCGTAACATCTATGTACCGGGAACGCATTGAAGGCCAACACCAACCGCAACACCAACAGAATCATCAGCGACTATCTTGGCAGACCAACTAAGCCACAGCCAGTACCACACTACGATCACCAGTAGCAATGTACGTATGTCACGCCTTTTGCACAGCATCTGCCACCATGCAGAAGTAGACAAGTATCAAGCTGCTCCTGTCTCCTCTTTGTGACATGGGGCAAGGCGGGCCCAATGAACTCGACAGGAGAACACAGGACCCACTTCCAACTGTTTTGCATACAGTTCTTTGGCCTTGCTGCTAGCATGAATGTGAAACAGCCTACGCGTGACAAGGAAAGGCAAATAATTCGGGGTTTGATTCTCATTGACTTGAAGGAAAGTCTTCCATATTTGGCATCACAGTAGAAGCGAGACACCCTTTTCCCTGACCTTGTTCCTCTATATTCTGTCGAGTGAGGCTTTCAGGCCTGGCCAGGTAGGTATATCTCCCAGACAAGGTCGATGCGCGTCGCATTCCGAGTTCAGCAGGATGTAAATGGGCAAAACCTTTTTGCATACTCTTTAAATGTTCTTGATGTCCCAGGATTTACGCATTGAACCACAGCTGCAGCCATCGAAAAAATATGTTGGGCATCAGCTCACAGCACACTATTTGTTTTAAGAGGCCAGGATTTGATCCAGCAGCGAAGTAAAGACGCTGTAACAACCCAAACCGATTTTTCCTTCCAGTTTGACAAGCTGGCGTGGGCTGCTGCATCCATGGGAGAAGAAATTTGTTGATGTCCTCATCTCGAGTTGACCAGGAGATGTACAGCCTCGAAAAGAGACCGTACAGTCACTCTCAGTGCAGGCGACGTGCTTCTGTTTGACTTAACTTACCGGTGCTTACTGAAAAGTGGCAACTTGGTTTCTTTGTGAAGTGTGCTGTGGACAGGGTGGTAATCCGTTCTAACCTTTCTACGTCAGCAAACTTAGTACTGCTTCTCACCAAAGGGTCTCAATATCATTCTCACAAGTTCAGCATCTTGGTGTCGCATGGATGTCCGCTTGTGTTATAACATAGTAGTCATGCTGATTTTCATAGAAAGCATTCCGCGATCTCTTCAGCAGGCTGTCACAAGGCCATTATACTCTTCAGCGAATGCGGCTGCACTTCCAGGTTGCTGCTCCGGTGAGAGGGTCTAGTGTCCAACAGCCTCCACCATCTGTTGCTTAATGGCCTGTTCCTCAGAACTCACTGAGTTAATGCTGCAATTTCTGGCCTTGCTAGCATCGCAGACGTCTGATGCTCCCTTGGATTGCCTGTCAGTCCATATACCCAGCACAGAACCTTCACCATTGCATTGATTTGCTCAGGGAAGCTGGCAATGCCAATAGCAGAAAACTTGTCTGCTGGTTTTGTGCAGCCACGAAGTTCCAGACTTGAATTCATGCTAGGACATCTAGGACCATGTCCACGGATTGCTACGGGAAGCGCACCTGGAGTAGTGGCGTGTGATCTAGGGCAAACATCCAGAGGCATGATCCTGCGTCATGGGATTTCACCGAACAATGAAAGTTTACGCTTACACGAAAGTGACTTGATGTGACCGGCAGCAAGAGAAGCACCAATGACATGGGCCATTATATCCAGCTAGCTCAAAGTGGAACTTGGCTTAGGCACCGACTCGCTCAGCCAGAGCGAATATCTGCGTACATCGCATCAGATCTATTCAGATGTGGGCAGTCTTCATTGTAAGCTTGTTGGGGAGTGTATAAAGCTTGCAGCTGGACCTTCGTGTACATGGCGTGTCCTTAAGTGACAATGCCTCGCAGTTATGAAGGAATTTGGGCTGTTCTGGAATTGCAATGTTAGCCTGTACCAGGGGCGTCGTCAACCTACTGTCT